ATACATTTTGTTTTGATAAAACAGACATATCCCAAATACTGCCCCCAACTATATTCCTCCTAAACAGCCAAACAATTTCACCTTCTAGTGCCTCACTGTTTTATGAGGGAATGTTACTCATAAATCTCCCATCATACTCCTCAGTAATACTCTCTAAATGAGTTTATAATTTACACGGTGTTACTCTTTGCTACTCTGTCTTACCATTTAGCAAGAAACTTAAGTGTTTGCTGCCTAAAGATGTTCCTAGGCTCTTTTGGACTTCTCGTTTTGGCAGTTGCATTATTTCTGTTAAATTTCCATAGGAAATGGTGATATCTCTCATGATTCATTTCCCAATTTCTTATGTTAATATCTTATTCAAATAAATCAGATTTGAGCTTACTTTAATTGCATACCCTTTACCCTTTTTTTCCCCAATTTTGGTGTTGACTTTTATCTCTTTGAGCCAACAAGTCAATGATCTGACTCTGCACAGACAGCTGAATCAGAAAAGTCTACCACATCAATAACTAGTCATTTCCTGTCTGTTGAGACATAATTCATTTCATTTTTTGGTAATGTTATTCAGGGTGTCATTTTTTTCATTGTACAGCCTCCCAAATAATATCCACAATAATTCAAAAGAGTTCAGCTTAACTGTCCCCACGGGAAAAACCATGTGGATGAAGAATATCTGTTGTCCCAACTATGATCTACAATTGGATGGACAAATTCTTCCAAAACTGATCTATCAGTACATTTGTCTGGGACAGATGCCATACATGGACAATAAGCTGGGTCCAAAGCTCAACAAGAGTAGACTAGTGGGAAATTGTGAGGAATTGTGCAGTGTTTTCAACGACCCCTAAAACAAAAGTCCTCCTTTCCTAATACAAATATTCTTTCAGTGGATATTGTATGTCTGCGAGTCATGGAATACCATAGTCTCAGGAGACTATATATTTGCCTAATTTAATTGAATCCAGTTAAAGATGCAAGTCATTCAGCAAAAGAGGGGCACGTGGTAAATGTGGGTAACCTACAACATAATGCAGACATAGTAGGAAGCAGCATAAAGGATGATATCAGATTGGTGTATGACTTTGAAAAAAGATGGGCTGGCCATGCATTGAGAGGGACAGCTCATTTACAACTCTAGTACTGATATGATATTAAGAGATGTAGAAAAAGACACCCCCTAATACACCCCCTCAGTATTTTGGTGGGTCCCTTATGGAAGGTTTATGGGACAACATGGGCAAAACTAGAAAAGGATTTCCAGGCATGGATAAGGTGAAATCTACATTGCAGGAGCACAGGAGGAATACCCACATGGATGAGATTTAAGATCCATTGAAGTATCAAACTATTCAATGCTTTCAATGTCCAGCATCTTTCATTTTCTGAAGAAAATATTCACAATATACAGGATGACCTCAAAGTTTTAGCACATTAAATTATGTATTAACACTTAAAGCTGTAGTAAAACCTTTGGGATACTCTGCATAAGTGTGACACTTTTATATATTCTAGTATAGTATAGTCTATAAGACTTTTTTGTTTTCCTATTTTCCTGAGGCTTATTTTCCAGTGTATTTTTGTTTTCTCCTAAGTGTACCAAGTATTAAAGTATACCTTGATACTATTTGAAGAATCTTATTGAATTTTTTTGTAGAACTGATTTCTTTGTTCATCTTCTGCAGTGAATGAACCAACATTTATTAGCCACAACTAATTTCAAGGTGTTGGGTTTTTTTGCTTATGATTATCATGAAGTCCTGTAATGTTCCATTAAATGACAAATGTTGCATGAAATGCCATTTCTTTTTTATACATTTTTGATGAATGATAAAACCAATGTTGACAATTCACAAAGAATTACAGAATCACAATTCCTTTATCTAAGGAGAGCCTGCAAGACATCCTTCAATTGAGAAACAACTTCCTCCAGTAGTCAATTCATTGGTTGTTGCAGAAGGTATCTTGCATTTGTGAGCTGGGTTACCAGTCAAATAAATGATTAAAACTGTCTTAAAACTTGTAAAATGTTCAAAAGTTTCTAAAAATTGTGATTTTTAGCATCTTATGCACCTCTCTGCCATTCTACCACTGTCACTGCAGAAGCAGATGGGGAATGCACAGAATTGGAGGCCATTGAGTATGTGTGTACATACACATATATGTATGTGTATATACACATATAGATAGTTCTCACCTTAAGTAGACCCGTTCTGCAGATCTTCTCCTCCCCTGGGGAGTTCCACATGGCCCTGCCCTCTCTGGGGTTCTATGCTCCCCACAGCCCAAGATTTTCAGTGCCTAGGGTTCTGCCACCCCTTCTACCCCAAGCCCTAAGTGTGTGTGTGTGTGGGGGGCAAGGATCTTGCTGCCCTTTCATAGGGCAGTAGAATTTGCATAATCCGAATTTACAGAAATAGAGAATTGTATATATGTGGCTATAGCTATAGATATATTGACTCATATATGCATATACATGTGTCTATATCTATATCTATATTTTCTTTTCATTGCCATAGCCAATGACTTCATTACTTAGTGGCCAGCTATTGGCAGTGAGATTCCTCTTATATCAAAATGAAAAAAAAACTGCTTATCAACAATTTTGTTCTATAGTACATTTTTAAGTTCAGGGAGAAGAGAAGACCTATGGGGATAAGCTAGAATGTGGAGAAAGCCAATTCACTCCTTTCATTTAATTTACAGCTAACTGAGGTCTGTTGTTCGTTGCTACAATTTCAATCCTCCCTTCTCCAATTCTCCACAGATCCCGACCTCTAGTAGGAGGAATGCTCGAGTAAACCACATATGAATTTATTGAGTTTAATTTAGTAAATAATTCCTGTTCACCTTTAATTTTTCTTCTGGAGTTGGATACTGTCCTGCTTTTCCAGATCAGCTTGTACACAGAACCACAAATGCAATAATAAAAGCAAACAAACAGCCTTATCGTGGCAAAAAAAAAAGTTCCCTATACACAAATTAGTTGCACTCTATTCTTGCTAGACTTACTGTTGTCATTTTATTAAAGATCATCAGTTGAGTTGTCTGCTCTTTTATCTTTCCAAAATATTTAATAGCTAATAATCTTTCTTGGGTTAATTTTGGGCTCTCAGGGAAAAAGATCCACAATGGAGCTGCTACCTGAGCTGCAGAAACTGGAAACCCAGGGCAAAAAAGTTTTACACTTTCTAAATGTAATTGTCATATTAATTTAAAACTATTAATTCACAAATTTTTTTCTGTCTATCCATTTGAGATGTGTGAAATTCAGGCATACTTGTAAGGTGCAAGTGCATTTTCCTTTTCTACAAACCTGTTAATCTGACCAAAGCTTTTTCCTAGGCAATTATGTGATCATTGCATTCAGAACTGAACCCAATGTTAGAGATTATCTAGTCTAGTTCTCCTTCTTCTTCTTCTTCTTTTTCATCTTTTTTTTTTTGAGTGGCTAGGAAATATGAGATAAGTGGTTTATTTCTACTCACAGAAAGGAATTCTAAGTCACAGAAAGAATAAATTGGGCATTAACAGGATGATTAGAATAGCATTCTATAACTCAGCATACACCTAGGTTGAAAGGCTAGTTGGTGTTTTCTTTTTTTAAGAAGCCTCATCAGAACATAAAGTATAATACTGCTAATTAGGCACCTCCTATTTCACCTTGGCCCTAGGCATTATCTGATCAAACAGCCAAGCTCCATCTTTTTCTTGTGGCCTTTCTCCTGGTAGTGGCTGAACTCCCCAATGTAGAAGCTTCCCCTGCTGTTAACCACAGCAACTCTGGTGCTGATCACTTTACCCATGGATATAGCCCCACCCACATGCCTCCACACTCATAAGTTTTTAGGTTAAGGACTCTTAACTTTTTTTCTGTAAAGGACCCCTTTGGCAGTGTGCTGAAGCCTATGGACACCCTTCTTAGAACAATATTTTTAGCTCCATAAAACAAAATACATAGGATTACAAAGGAAACACATATTGAAATAGTTATTAAAATAACTATCTGCCCCCAGATTAAGAACTTTTGATTCTAGTCTACATTTTTCATTTTATAGACAAGGAGACTGAGATCCAAAGAGGTTGAATTCCTTGCCCGGAGTCACAAAAGTACCACAGAGTGGGTAAGTATAACCTTAAATGAACCATATGAATAGTTCTTCCCTGCATGGACATTAGCTGAAACTCTTTAGATGGAATAACTACTCTTGTGCCGTACAAAATATCTCGTTGTAAATGATAAAGAATTTCTTTTTCTAACTTGTGAATGAGGATCTTCATACTAAAGAAAGAACAGACTCATTAACAACAAAGGAAATAGATTAAAGCACTTTGACTCAAAATGGGTTCAAAGAGCCTGGTGTCATGTAAATTGTCCCAATGTTTCTAGAGAACAACAGGGCATTATTTGATAGAGTCACAGAATACCTCACATTCTTTGACCTTGTAATTCAACAAATACTTCAACTCTTTAAGGATCTGATATAGCTACTCTTTCCACCTATAGATACTGAACCCTGGACAAACAAAATTGATCAGCCAGTGGTCTACTAGTTATGGACGTCTTGGCTCTTACCCTGGACATCAAATACAATCCATTGCCTAGCCCATCCCCCAATTCTTTCCAATTTGTTATAACCTGACACAGTTAATTCTATGCTATTATAGCTTCAGAAGACATCAAAGTACTACTTTAATAAAGGAAATAATCCTAAAGAAAACAAACATGATTTACACAAAGATGTATATAGCAATTCTATTTGTAAGAGTAAAAAATCAAAAACAACCTATATATTTTATATTAAGACAACAGACATGCAAATGATAGTATATTAATACTATGGAATATTAGGTAGCTATTAAAATGACAAGTATATAAACAATGTTCAATATACAGAAAGAGATAAAATAATGTTAAGTAAAGAAAGCAGAATTGCAAACACTAATTACAACTATATAAAACTACATGTAGTGACATAAACAAAGTTTGGAATAGAATATGGAGTGGTATAAATAGAATTTACTTTTCAATAGGTTTTCATACAAATTGTTCATAAAAATACATATGTACAAAAAAAAGAGAAGAGAAAATTTAATAACTATCTCAAATTATAGTCTTAAGTTTGTAGTAGTCCAGTTACTGAGAAGGGATCTTAGGTTTAGAGCTAGAAGAACCTCATCTAGTCCTACTCCCTTATTTTACATATAAGGAAACTGGGGCCTAAGAGAGGGTAAGAGCCTTGCCCAGTGTCACACAAGCAGAAAGTAGCAGATCTGGCATTTGAAACCAGGGAAACTGTAATGACTATGGAGGCAGATGGTTAATGTGGGAAGGATCAGTGTTAATGGAGTACAATTTCCATTACCTGGTGATTTTGGTCACTGGTAAAAGTTTTATACTTCAACTAATCTCAAGGCTGGGAAGAGACAAGATATTCTCATATGAAATACTTTCAATTTTCAACATGAGCTTTCCCTGACAGCTTCCTCTTAAGACACAGAATCTAACTCAGTAAATTTTAGTTTATAATAATAGATAAAATTATATGGGGTTGAGGTTTAAAAGGATATGACACAAAAACATAGTGAAAACTATAATTAGTACTTTAAAAGACTTGTGACAAAAGGTTAGTAAATAGTTCTACTTTAAAATACCCTGTTCCTAAATGTTTGCATTTCACAGATAGTTCTAAATTCCATGAGAGAGAGAAGGAATGGCCCATATGAAATAGAATAAGTTAAATTAATAAAATCTGGCAGATGGCAAGTACTCAAGAGATCAGTTAGGTCTTTATTATCCTCATTAATTCCTTAAAATAGATAATATTTTGCCTTTTATAGCTATGATTTTCAAATATTATAGAACCCATTATTTTACAGATGAAGGATACTGGAGGTAAAGTGACTGGGCCGATGTTAACACAGATACTGAAGTGGTAGAGCAATATTTAAGCCCTCAAGTGTCCTTACTTCCAGGCAAGGGTTCTTTCCAGCCTACCATGGGGCTAAAAGGAAGAATTAGCTGTGGCTAATTGCTTGTCATCTGTCCTAAGACATACTTGAATTAGTGCTGGTGTGTTTTGTTCTGTATGTCTTTCTGGTCCCTTTCTCCTATTTTTGCCAAACAGAATCAGTACAAAGAGTTTCCAAATTAATTTTTTTGTAGGTTTTACAGGACAAAAGAGGGATTAAAAAAAAAAAGAGGTTTGGGAATGAGAGGCTTTCTTAAAGTACTGGGATCTACCTAGTATTTATTTTTAACCAGGGGTATTCATAAATCTGAAGGAAAATCAGTTGGCTTAGCACTTATCTACAAACAACAGTGAAGACTAATGTTCTACCCTTGCATGTACCAGGATATTCATGTGTGCATAAAATTGACAAGTTAAAAAGTAAACTTTGTGTTATTTTAATATATACAGATGTTAATATGTACAGATCTAAAAACATGGGTGCTGTAATCCAAGTGCTTAAACATATTTGAAAACTGTCCCCAAAATATTTTCCAACAGAATGGAAACAAGGAACTATGAATGTTTAATACAATAATAAAGATTAGGCTGAGAAGTTGTCTGGGTTGTGACTTTAAAAAAACAAAATAAAACAAAAAAAAACCAATTTAGCAAGGGAGAAAAACAAGCAATTTTATATTTTCTCTCAGTTTCCAAGTAAATTAAATTCTTAAGGACCAGGTCCTAGGAGGATTCCAGCATCTAGTTATGTGAGGAAGTAATTTACTTTTCTGGTTCTATTGGAACCAGCCTATTTGACCATGATCAAATGACTAAGAAACCTCATAATTTTGGTGGACCCATAATTGGACTTCCCCCTGCTGAGAAAAATGCTTATAACACTAACTTTCCAAGGATAAGAATATTGTTCCTGTCTCTATTTTCCATAAAAAGAGTGAAAGCATTTTGATACACTATACACAGAGCTAATGAGAATTAGTACTATAGCAAATCTTGTTTTTTACTGATGAAAACTTTGGCAGCATCAATTATCTTTTAGAGAGGAGGTGTAACCCAACTTCTTAGTCCAGCTTTTCTTCTTCTTCTTCTTTTCTTCTTCTTCTTCTTCTGCTGCTGCTGCTGCTGCTGCTGCTGCTGCTGCTGCTTCCCTTTGAGAGATACAAAAATGATCTGCAATCGTTCCTGAGGCCCTTGAGGAAGGTCTAACTCATTTTTGTTCCGAGACTGTACAAGTCTTCATCGAAGTGTTCATTCAGCATATTCTAGTCACAGTCAGTTGGTGGTGATGGGGGTCCAGGGGTTCCAGTCACACCCGTCTCACTCGAGGCACCGGCAGCAGCAGCAGCACAGTGTCCGACAAGGGTTCTTCTTTTTGTACTCCACCGCTTTCTTCACATGAGCTTTTGCCTCCCCAATGTAGTTCTGGATCTTTTCCACGTTCAGCTCTATGACATCCAGCGTGTCCCCCTGCTCTTCCACAAGCAAAGCCATCTGGAGGAAAAGTTCATGCACCTCCCGGATCCGGCTCTCCAATTTCACTAGCTCCTTGTGCCGGCTCTCAATCTCGTTCAGGGCGGACCGGGCCCCTTTCACGTCGGCCAGGAGGTTCTCGGAGAAAACATCCCACTTGCCTTGCTCGCACATCTCTTCTATCTGAGCCCCGGAGACCTCTTTGCCCATGATCTCCAGCTGCCGCTGAATACGGATCTTGCAGTTCTCCCTCTGGTTCATCTCGGCTTGGTTGTAGTCGTGCATGGCCTCCTGGAAAGCCCGAGTGAGCGCGTTGTACTGGGCCTTGGAGATTCGGGCCATGGCGGAATTGGCACCATGCTTCTGCTCTGCTACCTCGCTGAAAGTTTTCATGCCCTGGAGCTTCTTATGGATGGCTTCTCCCCGAGTTTTGATGTCCTTAGCAATGGAGTTGGTGTCTCGCTTAATGCTGCTGAGGCGGCGCATGGAGGTGAGGAAGCGGGCGTTCTGCTTGCCCAGACGCTTGACGTCCACGGTCAGCAGGTGATTCTCTGTCTGGATGTCTCGGATGTCTCTGTACAAAGATTCCAGGATGTAGTCTGTCTCAAATATAATATTCTCCGGGGCCAAGTCCACTTCATCCTCTCCATCAGGAAACTGTTGGTCATGCTGCCTGGATAATTCCAGCAACTCTGGGAGCCGGTCTTTCATCTTGCCTGCAAATGGAATGCAGAATGAGATGAGTTCAGCAACATTTTCATATTTTGAAGGGTTCTGCCAGTGATCGTAAAATGCTTGACGAGATGTAACGATGTATCATCATAATAATGTAATATATTATTATATATTATATTGTAATAAATATTATTGTTTTAACTCATACCCATAAAGTGCTCGGAAGTTTCCAAGACACTTTCTTCATAACAACCTGATGAGGTAGTAGCACCTGTATTATTAATCCCATTTTTAATATGAGGAAAGTGAGGCTTGGAAAGATGACTTATTCATGATCACACAGCTAGTGTTTGAGACAGCAAAAGAACATAGGTGTCCTGACTCCGGAGGACAGTTTCCAAGCAGTTAGGTGGCATAGTGGACAGAGTGCTGGACAAGGTAGTCGGGGAAATTGGAGTTTGAATCCTGTCTCACACACTTAACAGCTATGTGATCCTGGGCAAATCACATAACCTTTCTGAGCCTCAGATTCCTCCTCTGTGAAATTGGGATGCTAATAACACCTAAATCTCAGGGCTATTGTAAGAATTAAATAACATTTACAAAGCACTTTGCAAACCTTAAAGTGCAATATACATGCTAGCTATAATAAAAATAATGATAATATATATTATACTATAATTTCCCTCATCTCCTAGTTGAAAGTGTGCTAGCTCACCCCGCAAAAAATTTTCTTATGGCACTTTTACTACATCACTCCTTTGCTCCCCTCACATTCACACTCACATAATATTATTCTATATAATAATATCATGATTAATTACCAATGTTCTATTCCTAGTTTTACTACTTACCATTTGTCTTGGAAAACTTGTTTTCTCCTCTGCAAACGTGGATAATAATATTTGCCCTACATAAAATTATTGTGAGGAAACAAATGAGATGATATCATGTGAAAGAACTTTGAAAACTTTAAAGCAGAAAATGTGTGTGTGTGTGTGTGTGTGTGTGTGTGTGTGTGTGTGTGTAGGGGGGGGTGGAGAGAAAAGACACAGAGAGAGACAGAGAGTCCAGAGTTCTTAATGATTTGTTAGAAGAAAAGACCCTCTCAATTCTCCAACATTTTATCTCTTAGGGGTGGTAATCAGCATACTGACAACAGCTGCTGGCTTTGGAGATGTTTTGTTTTGTGGAATATTGAAGCAAACATGAATATTGCTGTCAACAACACCCAAAGACAGATGTGGCCTAGGCTTCTCTGTGCGATGAGTTCAATGCTGCATTTACACACAAGCAGTACTTAATCAACAATTTAAAAGTTCAGATTTCACTGGGAAATTGCTTGAATTATTCTCTTCACATTTTCCCATAATAACAAATGAAAACAAATTGCCCAAATCAAGAAAATGAAAAGGAGTACAGGCTTTTTGAACAAGCAGGATGACCCGAAGAAGCTCTTGAGCAAATCACAAGCCTTCAATCACCCAACATTTATTAAGTACCAACTATATGCAGGGAACTGTTACTAGATCTGAGAGTGATTAAAGAATGAATAAGGCATGTTTCCTGCATTCCAAGTAGTGCACATTCTAGAAAGAGTTTTTTTTAAATATACATATGTACATACATACATACACACATACAAACGAGGAGGCAGTGAAGGTATAAGGGGAAGGCATACTGGACCTGGAGACAGAGTACTGCATCTCAATTCTGCTACTTACTACCTGTGTGATTTTAGACAAGTCACAACTTCTCTGGACCTCATTTCCTCAACTGTACAATAAGGAATTTGGAATCAGTCTCTAATGTGTCTTCCAGCTCTAAATGTGTGATCCTTTAATGCAAAGTAAAATGTGACAAATCACATGCTCCACATTTCAACCAAGTGATGATTATTACCTCATTTTATCCTCCCCTCTACATGGTCTGTGAATTCATACCATTCAGACCATGTATCACGCCTGAAACCGAACTCTGCCTCCTCACTGGCTCACTGAAATCCTTCTCTCCCTTTAAGATCTAACTCATGTTCTTCTTCCTCGATGAAAATTTCCTTCATCTACTAGCTGAAAATGTGCTAGCCACGCCCCCTAAAATTTTCTTGTGGTACTTTGACTGCATGTCTGTTTTGCTCCCCTCACATTCACACTCACTTCTGTGTCAGTCATAGAATCCTAAGATCTGGTGCCAGAAGGACCCATAGAGATCCCCTTGTCCAAATGCCTCATTTTACAGATAACATATTTCTCCACTACATTGTGAGCTCCTTGAGGACAGGGACAGTCATTTGTTATCTTTATATCTCTAAGTGCTGTTGCATTGAACAGAAGAAGAGGAGTGCAAAATGCTTTTAAATAAGGAGTGAGAACCTCAAAATGGGTGACATCAGGGCAAGCTTCATGGTGAAAGTGATAGAATGGATAGGATGTTAATTAACAAAGTTAGGGGTTGGGTAGGAGAGGAGGAATGGAGTGTCTCAGATATTAAAAAAAACCCAGCAAAAGTACAGAGGTAGGAAAGCATGCATATCTATAATATGGGAATGTCTAACCTGACTTCCGCATACAGTATAAGGAATAATGTGGGCAACTAGGTGGAGATAGGAAATCCTGAGTTCAAATCCAGCCTCAGACACTTATTGTGTGGCCCTGGGCAAGTCATTTAGTCTTGTTTGCCTCAGTTTCTTCATCTGTAAAATGAGCTGGAGAAGAAAATGGCACACCACTCTATGTCTATGTCTATGCCAAGAAAAACTCCAAAAAGGGTCATGAAGAGTCAAATGGGAATGAAAAATGACTAAACAACAACAAAGGAACAATGTAAAAACGCTAGAATACTCTTGCTGAGCACCAGTAAGTGACAACCTATGATGTTGTCTCTACAGATCTGAGAATTTAAAGTAATAAATAATTAAACTTGCCTTAAAATGGTCGAATCTCTGTTATCTTAGAGGTCACTTGCAGCGTCTTCCTAGAGGGTCCATTTAATAACATTCTTCGATGGAATGGGACCCCTACTTGGTAGATTCCTATTTCTTTGCATCAGTGATCCTAATGTTATTCTTGCTTAACAAGGCCAGAGAGTGTGCCCTACATCTGTTTTTGTTCCCAAGCGAGATAGAAAGCTCCTAAAGTTTTTCTTTGACTAGTGGTGCCATTTGCTAAAATTCTGACGACAGGGTTCCTGCAGGGATTTTCATAGCCTCAGGTGTATGCTTGCTCTTATGTAATTTGGACCCTGGCTTCCAGTTAATTGGGGAAGGAAGTGGTAGTACTTTGCAGATAATTATTCCAGGTGGGAGACCTCAATCTGCTGATCTCACAGTTTAAAGGCCTCAGCTGTAGTTAAATTATTTCTTACCAACATTAATGAGGTGCTGGATAGCTCTATTCAATGAGAAACAGAACAGAAGAAAAGATATCTCCCATACCCTTCTACCATCATGGTCACTATTTATAGAAATTGACTTGAAATGTCTTGCCCTGTGAATCTGATTTTCAACATCACTAGTTATATTGATCACAAATGTAGCTTTGGCTTTTAACCATAGCCCTACTCATAGACATAATAGGAGACTGCCTTTCTGTTATGAGGCAAGGGGGAGGGGCAATGAAAAGTTCTGATACCAAAACTGTCAGACCCAAATTGTCCTGCTTTTTGGGTCTGAAATGCTTACTGTTAGCACTACTCTTGAACTATAGTTTTAAACAGGTAAAGGCTGGGGTCCTCCACTGTGGTTCTCTTCTGATGCCCTGATACCTCATTGTGCTGTGATAATGGCCCTATGTTCTTGAAGGCTGGGCCAGTACAGGACATAAGGTCTAGCAGATCTCACCAAACTGAAGAGCCTTCAAGTACTAGTGGAGACAGGCTATATATCTGCTTCCCAAAGACCAATCTGGTTGAATTTGGAAAGGTCCATCACCAGGTTGGCCGCAAGTTGATGAATTTTTTCAGCTACAACTCTTAAAGACCATCTGGTAAGGCATCATTAAACTTTTTGGTCTTAAGGCTACTTCACACTCTTAAAAATTATTAAGATTCTCTCTCCCTCTCCCCCAAAGAACTTTTGCTGGTTACATATGTCAGTTTCGACCACATTAGAAACTAAAATGTCTTAGATTATTATGAAAACAGCTTTAACCTCGCAGATGATCTGAAACGGTCTTAGGGACACCACCCCCGCCCCACAGCTCCCCAGAGAATTGCTGTTCTATATAAAAGGTTTACCATCCAGAGGACAAAATCTAAAATCATTGATATATTGACCTAAGTCACAATTATAATTAACTAGCTGACACATTAACAAGGATTAGTTTATCTGATTAACACTTTGACATTCCCTCCTCATATAGAACAAAGTACTAGGGAAATAAAAGGTTGAAAAGTTCTGATAGGAGTGGGAAAATTAGGGAATGGGAGCCTGTGGCATGCTCTATGATTAATGGGGCACCATTTTAGAAAGTTATAGAAGACTAAGAAGTAAGGTCATTGCCTCTCTACAGGGCACACAGGAGTACAGGTACAATAGAGCCCCACTGATACTGAGATAAATCTCATTCTTTTATCCCCTAATTTTTCTATCTCATCAAAACTCACCAGTCTTGTATTTTATTCCCTCTGGGTCCTGCTCTCTGTTTCCCTGTTTCTGTCAGTGGTACCATCATTCTCCCAATCATCCAGGTTCCAAACCTTAGAGTCATCTCTAACTCTTCACTTTCCTTTATTCTTCATTTTCAGTTACTAACATCTTTGGATTATTCCTTGGAAACATCATCTGTATCCATTTCTTCTTTTTTTTTTTTTTTTAGGCAATTGGGGTTAAGTGACTTGCCCAGGGTCACACAGCTAGTAAGTGTGCCAAGTGTTTGGTCTGAGGCCGGATTTGAACTCAAGTACTCCTGACCTCAGGGCCAGTGCTCTATCCACTGCGCCACCTAGCTGCGCCTCATTTCTTCTTTTCCATTCCCACTGCTACCAGTCAGCATTTCACATCGAGGTTTTTTTTTTTTTTTCTGTTATAGCTTCTTAAAAGAGC